AATTTTTCCTTTCTCTTTGGAGTGTTACAAGCTCTTGGTGCATATATAAGATCCGTAAAGTTGCAAAGACTAAAGTCTCAAACCCAAAGAGATATACTTTATAAAAGTTAAGACTGTTCTATACCTTCCTAAAACGCCTCATTCAAACACGCCCCCACATGTATGTCACTGTGTTGGACGATTTGCATAACACCGCACAAATTCATTTCAGTTTGATTTTTTATAGCGGTTTTCATGATGCAAATCATTGCAAAGCAGCTTTACAGAAAATTAAAGTTTCTACATTATATTTAGGAATAGCTTATCAGTGGTGACTATCTCAAGTTGATGTCCATACGGCAGAAATGTACGGTAAAAATCAAGCAGTTAGTTAATGTCATGTAATCAAACAGATGGTGAGCAATGATTATATGTTGCAATTAAACTTACAGCAAAATTTGGTAGTTGTGTAATGTTTACGCAAAGAAAGAAGGCATAACTTTTATTATCGCTGTAGTATTGTTGCCGCCACCTCCGGCATGTCGAGGAGACGCTGTGTGTTTCTAAATATGGTAAAGGGGCGTAACATTTCCGTCACACGCTTGAGGCATTCAGCCAATCATAACACACTGGATAGCTGGCCAATCAGAGCAAACCTCGCTTTTCAGACCGATGAGCTTTGTAAAAATCGACGCGTTTCAGAAAGACGGGGCATAGAGGAATAACAATAATGTACGGTATGTGGAAAATAATGTGTTTTTTGAACCTTAAACCGCATAAACACATTTCATTACACCAAATACACAAAATAATGTTCTTTTTAGCAGCATCATATGATCCCTTTAAGTTCTTTGCTCACTGAAAATATGCCAAGACATTGGTATATGCTGTATGAAAGATCTCTTTGTATTTAGTCACCATACTGGTTTTGTCTGTCTTAAATAGTTTATCGGTGGGCGGTATTTCTACGGTCAAGCCTATAAAGCTGTCAAGCACAGGACGGCCAATATGGATGTGCTGATTGTTCTGGCGACAACGATTGCATTCACATACTCAGTGGTGATTCTCCTGGTTGCCATGGTGGAGGGAGCGAAAGTGAACCCCATCACCTTTTTTGATACTCCACCCATGCTGTTTGTCTTCATCTCGCTGGGCAGGTGGCTGGAGCAGATAGCAAAGGTGAACAGGCATTTCCAGTTACACAAGCTATTCATCTGCATGCTCGTAATTATTTACATTTAGGCATTTAGCAAACACTTTTATCCAAAGCGACTTACAAATGAGGACAATAGATGCAATCAAAACCAACAAAAGTGCTGTGATAAGTCTCAGTTAGCCTAATTCAGTACAATGTAGCAAGGTTTTTTTTTTTTAAATAATAAATAACAAGAAAACAAGTAGATAGAATAGAAAAAGAATAGAGAACGTTGGTGTAAGAGGGTCTCGTTTTTTCTATTATTATTATTTTTTTTTACAAATAAAGAAAAGTCGAAAGAATAGAAAAAGAATTTAGAACATTAGTGTCAGGGGATCTTTTTTTTAAATAAAAAGAAAAACAAGTAGATAGAATAGAAAAAGAATAGTGTGTCACATGCTCTATTTTTTAAATAAAAAGGCAAGGCAAGGCATTTTTATTTCTAAAGCACATTTAAAACAGCAGTTGCTGACCAAAGTGCTGTACGAAACGATCAAACGATCGTAAAACGATCAAATACACACTAAAAGAAAATACAACAAGATAAATAACAAATAAAACAGATAAACTAGCAAGAGAATACCCTGATTAATAAGAAAAGAAAGCAAGTATTGTAAAGTATTGCACTGTAAAGAGTGCAAGTGTTAAAGGATCAAACGTAATTTTTTTAATATATTTAAATTTTTGTATAAATCGCGTTATTTTTTATAAATAAAAAGAAAACGAGTAAATAGAATAGAAATAGAATATAGAGTGCTAGTGTTAAGAGGATCAAGTATAGATGGAAGATATGTGTTTTTAGCCGTTTCTTGAAGAATTAATTATAAGAATTGCAAGAATCCAGAATTATATCTCTTAATTTGTTGCATTGTTCTGCGCTAATGTTTATATGGCTTTGTCTTGAATCGCAGAGTAAGACCTCGGAGGCTCTGTCCAAGCTGATGTCTTTACAGGCGACAGAGGCCACCGTTGTTACACTGAATGATGACATGTCTATGTTCAGGTTTGTGCGTCTCCTGAGCTGTTAAATTGTATTTCCTATTAAACAGAAAGCACAGCTTTGCACATATGACACATATGATTGTGTATGTCTCTGTCTCTCAGCGAGGAGCAGGTGGATGTGGAGCTGGTTCAGAGAGGAGATGTTGTGAAGGTTGTGCCCGGAGGGAAGTTTCCAGTCGATGGCAGAGTGATTGAAGGACACTCGATGGCAGACGAATCTCTCATTACAGGTTCAAGAGGGCGCTTTTCTCTTTACTAATATGAGAGCAATCAAACGAGGCAGGATAATTGTTGTGTGTTCCACATACTTGGGTTGCACAATGAATCGTATGTTAATCATGATCATGATTCCTGCTTCTCTCGATTTATTGATCATAATCATCTGTGCTATTTCTGTGCTATCTGTACTGTCATTTTAATTTGCCACTTGTATTATCTTGCATTGGTAACAAACGTCCACAAGTGTTCATGGTTGCGGTTGCCAGATGTCAAGAGTTTAAATCCCCCAATAAGTGTTTTTTTTCTTGAATCAATCCATTGGTATTAGGGCTGGGTTTTGACACAAATTTCACGATTCGATTCTCATTTACAAGCTTGCGATTCGATTCAATATTGATTATTTTGGATACATATCAGGTACAGTACATGCCAAATTTTCTCAAGGAAAAAAAAATATCTCAACTAATGCTGTAAAATATACATTTTTTGAAATATACACATTTAAATAGTGGCTGTCATAAACTTGGGACGGATTTATTCAAACATAAATAAAACATTAACGAATGGTAAAAAATATATAATGAATGTTATATGGTGCATATATTTAGCAAAATGCTCCTCTCTACAGTTTATTTTTCTGGCTGAATATCAAAATTATGGTAACTGAATATGCTTTCTGAGGTAAATGTGATGTTACATGACTTGTTTACAAGTTATATTTACGTCTGCTCGGCTGAAACACTGATTGAGTGATTACATGAGACAGGATACGGATTGTTAAGTTGTACTCTTTCTTTTAACATGCCTTCGGATGTTTAGTCATGTTTATTTTGTGCTAGAACTAGTATTAATGTGGAGAAGATGATCAGTTCTCTGAGGCGCTACAGCGATCTGTCACTCCACATTAAACAGCGCCAAAACTGCATTAATTGTTTAAATACTGCAATACAATGGAAATAAATTGAAATCTGAGACTTTGTTTCATATTAAAAGTACCAACGCACAATGTTTATTGCGATTTATTGGATGGGAAGTGCGCTTCAATGTTCCGTCCATTGACTGAAAACAGGCTAGACTAATTGATTCTTGGGATTTAAGAATCAATATCGTTTCGTAAAAATGAGAATCGATTAAAATCGATATCGATATTTTTTACCCAGCCCTAATTGGTATACTTACTGGAGGCTTGGAGTTGAAAAAGTTGAGAATCACTGCCATAGACTTTTGAGGGAACCAAGTTAGGAATGTGTGATATTTGTCGTCTAGAATAATACAGTGATTTTTGCTTTAATGATTTGTCTGCTGAAATTATTAAATATGTCACTCACTTTGCAAAAAACAAACAAAAAGACATCTTGATAGTCCAAAGCATTCACTGTTTGATGAATTCTATTAGAATGCATTTAGAATGACCCTATAATTCAAGTTATGAAAGCAAAAAAATAGCTCTGTACATTTTTTTTTTTTTTAAAGAATTATATAGTTAAAAGGGGTCATATGACGATGCTAAAAAGAACATTAGTTTGTGTATTTGGTGTAATTCAATGTGTTTACGCGGTTTAAGGTTCAAAAACACATTATTTTCTACAGACCGTACATTAAAATAGTTCCAATAAAAGCCAGAGCAGAGCTTCGTTCCTGAATCAACCTGTTTTAGAACGAATCATTTAAATCAATGATTCAATGATCCATTCATACAGACAGTTGCTTGCTTTGCTTCTAAATGAATCAGCCGTTTTGAACAAATAATTTGAATGAAAGAGTCAGTGAATTACTCATTCAGTCAGGGACTTGCTTCCACCTACTGGTGATTTTAGTGTCATTTATTTATCCATCACAGGCCAGCCAAGATACCAGCACAAAAACACACAACTGCATAGCAGTGTCAGAGCGACCACACCTCTCCTCAAAATCATCTAGAAATCGACTTTCATTGTAATGTTTCTTCCCTTAATTTGCCCATTTGTGCAGTGACTGATGTGTTGTGTCCTGTGCTGTAGGTGAAGCCATGCCCGTCACTAAGAAGCCGGGGAGCACCGTGATCGCGGGCTCCATCAATCAGAACGGCTCTCTGCTGATCAAAGCCACTCACGTGGGCACAGACACCACCCTCTCTCAGATCGTCAAACTGGTGGAGGAGGCGCAGACTTCAAAGGTGCGTCTGTCAGCTCAGCATCTGCTATCACAGCATGTCTTTTGAAAAATAGCAGCTTCTCAATCTCCAGATTAGTCCAGATTAATGTGCATTTATTTATTTGCAAGAGTGACATAGTAGTTCTGCCAGTTGTAATTGCAATTTTAATTAGTTTTAATTAATGTTATTTTCAAGTCTGAATAATAAAAATATATAGCATAAACCATAGTTAATAAATCATATTTTCTGGTTGCATTGACAGTTGAAATACTCATGCCTTTCTAAACTAGAAAAAAAAGGATGCCATCGAAACTATGAAATAAAACAAATAGATGTATTAATTTTTTGTCGTAATCAAAAAGTCTTTGAAAATGAAAAAATGTACTTTTTTTTAAGTCTTTAAAAATTAAAAACAAAAACAAAACAAAAAATATATATATTTTTTTAAATGAAAACACTTCAATATCCGGTAAAAAAAAAACAGTTCTGTTAAAAAAAATAAATAAATAAACATTTTATTTATTTGCTTAATTAATTAATTAATTTTGTATGTTTTTTTTACTCTAAAGGCCCCCCCTCCATTGTCCACAACAATTTCTAAAATCGTATGTGATTTGATTAGATTCTGGAAAATTATTTTAAAAAATATGTTTTACTCACAATTTCTACCTGATCAAACATTTTAGAGGAGGCATAAACAGAAAAGTGTATATTCATTAAAAGAATGTTCAGGTAGTTGTAAGAATGTTATCAAATTACATTACTTTTCCAGGTCTAGAAATCAGACTTTTAAAATTGGCCTTCTTTTAGCCTATTTTTTAGCCTAGTTTTGTCTTATTTTAAATAATTACAATAAATATATTTAGATTTTTGGTTGCTTTAGCATTTGTTAGTTTTGTTATTATATTAGCTTTGTGTTATTTTAAATAATTTAATGAGGCCCCTAGTGGGCCCCAGCCCCTGGATTTCTGGTTAGTATTTCTAACCATTGGTCTTCACAAAACCTTTTAAACTTCCCAATCGCAGGCTCCCATCCAGCAGTTTGCGGATAAGATCAGCAGCTACTTCGTCCCGTTCATCGTTGGGGTTTCCTTCCTGACTCTCGTAGCCTGGATTCTGATTGGATTTGTGAACTTTCCGCTTGTGGAGAAGTATTTCCCTGTGAGTGAAGCTTTCTCTGTAGATCCATGTTCGTCTAAGGTTGCGCTAGTATGCCGTTTTGGAAGTATTTTATTTTTTCTCTAGACTTCAATTAGTCAAGGTTTCTTTAGGTTTCAAGCTTTGCTTTGTGAACATTAGAGTGTGTTTGCACAGCACATTGTACTCTTTTATTTCCGAAGAGCAAGAAAAATCCTGTTTTACATGGTATGTCCCCTTGAAATTATTCATACTTGAGGGTTTTAAAAGGATAGTTGATAGTTGATTTATAAAATGCAAGTCAGTGGCAGCATATCAAGAAACACAAAATGAATACGCGTGGCTCCTGATGATATATTGAGGTCTTATGAAGCGAAGCGATCGGTCTGTGCAAGAAACTAAACATTATTTACAACATTATTATCCTGTGTATTGAATAAGCATGTGTCCTAAACTCCTGAAACATTGGTGTCTCATATTTTAGAGCAGTCAATGCAATTTATGAAAGAAATCAATTAAGTGTGTGTGTGTGTGTGTGTGTTTGTGTGTGAAAAAAAGAGAGATGCAACCCCGTTTGTAATAGTTAACATTTTCATAAGTAACTAATTTAATTACACAATTTTTCTCAGTAACTGTAACTGATTACAATTATATTTATTTTTGTAATCAAATTACATAATTTAGTTACATGTAACTAGTTAGTTCCCAACACTGCCTACGTGAACATAGAGGTTGAATGAAGGGGAGAAATTAAAGTTTTTATGGTTTCTCATTATGTAAAAAGATGAGCGGATGAAGGCTAGTTTATTCGCTTTATTTGCTTTAGACACGTAAAACATCCACGTTTGACATTATTGGGTGCTTTGATAATATAATTGTGTATGATATTATCATTGTGTGACTATGTAAACAAACCAGAAAAAGAACCAGTTCATGGAAAAGAATAAATTTCCCAGTTTGTCTGAGGCTCTGGATTAAATAATGGTCGATTTCTTGCACAGACCGATCGTTTCGCTTCATAAGACCTCAATATATCGTCAGGAGCCACAGGGATTCATTTTCTGTTCCTTGATATGCTTTGTTTTTAATTCTCAAAAACGGGCAGCCACTGAATTGCATCTCATGAATCACCAAGGCCCACGGTTTCAACTTAAAATCTGTTCTACTGAAGGAAAAAAAAACTAACGTCTTGCATGGTCTGAGGATGAATAAATTACCAGCAAATTGTCATTTTTGGCTGAGCTATTCCTTTAATGCTAGACCAGGTTTATGTTCTTTCTTTGAACACATTGAAATGATGACCGTCTCTCTCTGCAGGGTTATGATAAGAGCATCTCTGAGGCAGAGGCGGTCATCCGCTTCGCCTTCCAGGCCTCCATCACGGTCCTCTGCATCGCCTGCCCCTGCTCTCTGGGTCTGGCCACCCCGACTGCAGTTATGGTGGGGACCGGTGTGGGAGCCCAGAACGGGATCCTCATCAAGGGAGGAGAGCCCTTAGAGATGGCACACAAGGTCAGAGACGGGCCGCTGATTTTAATGCTGTCGTGTTATGCAGAGGAAAACCATTTTATAAATCTGTCTGTGCTTTCAGATTCAGTGTGTGGTGTTTGATAAAACTGGCACCATCACGTATGGCGCTCCCAAAGTGGTCCAGGTGAAGATGCTGGCGGAGGGGAACCGGATGCCACGCTCTAAGCTGCTGGCGATCGTCGGCACTGCTGAAAATAACAGTGAACATCCACTGGGTGCTGCCATCACCAAATATTGCAAACAGGTCAGTTTGACTTCATGGTGTGTTGTTTCTTTACTTACAAACTGTGGTGGGGTTAAGCTAAGTTAAAGGGATAGTTCACCCAAAAATGAAAGTTTTCAAATCATTTTTTGCCCTCAAACCTAGATGAGTTTTTTCCAGCAGTTGAACACAAAAGAGGATATTTTGAAGAATGTTGCTAACCAAACAGTTTCTGGTCCCCATTGACTTCCATAGTATTTTGTTCCATACTGTGGAAGCCGTGGCAACCGTGTGGTTACCAACATTCTTCAAAATATCCTCTTTTGTGTTCAACAGAAAAATGAAACAAATACAGGTTTGGAACAATTTGACGGTATGTAAAAGATGACCATTTTAATTTTTGGGTGAACTGTCCCTTTAAAGTTATACATTAAATAAAAGATATTATGTAAATAAAATGCAACAGCTGTACTACATCATTTAAGAAAACAAAAAAGCCGTAGTTTTAAAAAAATAAATACATTTTATTATGTAATTATTAAAGCTATTTATTTACTGATAAATATCATTTTAGTTTGCAAAACATTTTAATTTCTAAAACTGTTGCCTAATGACATTATAAACTTTACTGAAAATATTATAACACTTAGCAAATGGCTGCAATATAACAAAGAGTGAAAAATTTAAGGGGGGGTCTGAATACTTTCCGTACCCACTGTATGATACATTTACTTATTTTTATTTAAAAGAAAAATTACAGTACATTTTAAGCCATAATTATCATAACTAAAGTGTATCTACATGCAAGACTAGGGTCATTAGATACCTTTTTTTAAACTTTCTATTCATCAAAAAACATTGATAATAATCAGAAATATATCTTGAGATTTCTGAAGGATCATGTGACGCTGAAGACTGGAGTAATGATGCTGAAAATTCAGCTTTGAAAAAATCAGAAAAAGTATTTGATAAAATATGTGACCCTGGAGCACAAAAGCAGTCTTAAGTCGCTGGGGTATATTTGTAGCAATAGCCAACAATACATT